GACCTAATATCTTCATCAAAATCCCAAAGTCCCTTAAAACACCCACAAACACACACAGTCCTTCCTTCCCCCTTTGCCCAGTCTAGGGTACTATGTCTCAGGAAAAGAAATAGAAGTCCGAGGCTCAGGCAGCCCCTGGTTGTTCTCAGTAATCCGCCTCAGCTGGTAGGCCTCCCTCGGTTCCTGGCACCATCAGCTGTGTTGCCAGGATTTCTGCTAAAGCTGGGTGGTGGTTCCCCCTTCTAAAGCTGCGGGGATCCCCACTCTGCCAAAGCCATGAGGTTCTCTCTCTACTGCCCCAGCCGCGTGGTTCTCTTGGCACAATGGCTGTGGGAGTCTCCACTATGCCAAAACCATGGGGTTTTTACCCTAATGGCTGCCGCATCTGGATTTAAATGCTTGCACCAGTCCTCATCTGCAACCCCATTTCTGACTCCTCCCACCATCGGCTACACTTGCTAGCCCTCTCATATCCTTCCATCTTCACTGGGCTGCCATCTTGGGTCTGGGCAGGTGTGGCCCCATGTTGTGAAGCCAATCATCTCCAAGCTCCCACACAGGCGCTGCAACTCAGGGGACCTTCCCCCCAGTTACATCTTGTTGGGGAAGCTACTTCCATTCCCCTGGTTCAGAGCATGGCCACAGCCATTTAACATATCTGTGCAACCAGTTAAAGGTTATAGATATGTTAAATGACCACACCAGAGGTTAGCTGCAAAGCTGTTGTTGTGCAAAACAATTCTCAATGGTCCTGCTCCAAGTGTCCCTTCTCCTAACCCAAACCTGGGGCGGGGGGTGAGGACATCCTAATATTTCCTGGACACCTTGAGTTCTGGGCCCCATTTCAAATCCCTATTTGGGGCTCCCCTCTTGGCTGCACCCTGTTACACTCTGACTAACTATTTTACAGAAACATCATCTGCTGTAGTTTCTTTTCTCAGTTTGTTACCTGTGGTCAACTATAGCCAAAATATTAAATGAAAAACTCCAAAGTAAACAATTCATACATTTTAAATTGCACACCATTCTGAGTACAGTGATGAAATCTTGCACAATCTCACCTGGCACGTGAACATCCCTTTGTCCGGAATATCCATACTGTATGTACAGTGCAATAAGATATTTTGACAAAGAGAGAGTATATGTTATTATTAACTATTGTTATTTGTAACTTATAAATTAAACTTATCATGGTTATGTGCATATAGGAAAAAACATATTTTGCTGTGTATAGTGTGCACCCATGTTTTTGGCCCAAACTTTCAGGAAAAAAATCTTTTGTTTTAATTCAATGTTTTATTTACATTTAGATACTTGTTTTTTGTATTATAAAGGAATTTTAGCATTTATTTTGTACATAGAGTATAAGAAATTTTATGTAACACATACTTATAAAACACAAGAACAGATACAAGGTACAAGAAATTTTATGTACCTGTTACAAACTGGCACTACCCATGTATAGTGCACATCCTTATTTTTCCACTCAAAAATTTAGTCAAAAAAGTGCTTATTATACACTGCAAAATATGGTAGTATTACAGAACAAAGGGGCCAAGGGCAATATACTACTACCGAAAGGACCCCCTACTAGGTTTGTTATGTCCGCCGCCTTATAGGAAAGACATCTTTCAATGCCAGAAATTTGTGAAAAGGAAAGGAAATGTTTATTTAATGCTATGCAGACTCAAAGTAGTGACCTAATGTCTTCATTAAAATATCAAAGTCCTTTTGGATACCCACAGATGCCCACTGTGCTTTCTTCTCCCCCTGCATTAATTTGGGGTACCGTATCCCAGGAAAAGAAGCAAACGTCCATGTTTTAGGCTGCCAGCACCATCAGCTGTGTTGCCGTCCAGACAGGATCTCTAATTAATCCAAAGCCATGTGGCACCTTCTCATGGCCTACTGGCAAGCTTTCTTTCACCCTTCTTCCAGGCAAAGTCTCTCCTGCTTCCCAGGCTGCGCGGCCCAAGTGAGCACCCCAAAGCCACGTGGTCCTCTTCTACCAGAGCACAGTGGTCCCCACTCTGACCAAAACTGCATGGTTCTTCTCTCCACTAAAGCTGCAAGGGTCTGCACTCTGGCAAAGCTGGGTGGATCTCCCCCCAAAGCTGCGGGGAGGGGGGTCGCCACTCTGCCAGAAGCCAGTGGCAATCCTCTTCTAAAGCCTCATGGTGGTTCCCCCCTACTAAAGCTGCGGGGATCCCCACTCTGGCGAAACCAGATGGCTGGTGAGAGATGCGTGGCTCTCTCACATGGTTACAGGGGTCCCCCACTCTGCTAGAAGCTCGTGGCTCTCTCTCTCTCACGTAGCCTCAGGGGTGCCCACTCTGGCAAAACCGCGTGGCTCTCCCTGCACTGCCACAGCCTCATGGTCCTCTCCTCTACTGCCACAGCTGCATGGTCCCTTTCTCTCTCTGCACTGCCACAGCCGCCTGGTCCTCTCTCACATGGCTGCTGTGTCTGGGTTTAAATCCCCACACCAATCTTCCTCTGCAGCCCCATTTCCGACTCCTCCCACAGCTGGCTACACTTGCCAGCACTCGAATATCCTTCCAGCTTTACTGGGCTGCCATAGTGGGTCTGGGTAGGCATGGCCCCATGGTGTGGAACCAATCTCCTCCAAGCTCCCATGCAGGCACTGTAACTCGGGGAACCTGCCTCCCAGTTATATATTGCGGGGTAAGTTCCTTCCGTTCTCCTGGCTCAGAGCATGGCCACAGCTATTTAACATAGCTAAGTGACCAGCCAAAGGCTATAGATATGTTAAATGACCATGCCATGGATTAGCTGCAAAGCTGTTGCTGTACAAAACAGCTCTGCATGCTCCTGCTCCATGTGTCCCTTCCCCCAACTGACACTTGTTGAGGGGGAAGGGGTGAGGACATCTTATATGTCTTTCTAATATTTGCTAGACACCTTGAGTTCTAGACCCCATTCCAAATCCCTATTTGGGCCCCCCCTCTTGGCTGCACTCTGTATCAGTAGTAGGTACAGGATTTGGTGCTATCTGTGGTTTCAGGCAGCCATGGAGGGTCTTGGGATATATAGGGGGGCTGCTGTAAAGGGGACAGTATATATCTTAAGTGTCCATTTGACTATAAGCATGGAGCTCAGAAGACAGAGATTGGAAATCTGTTCGTATTATGCAGACAGAGCACATGAAGAGAGGACTGTGGCACCAGCAGGGCCTGAGGGTCAGGCCTGTGGTCACCTCAGAGGATCCAGAGCTCAAACAGGAAATTGATATGAAAGTAGCCAGCCAAGAGAGTGACTGACTAATAGTCAACATGAGTTTCTTTACTTCTTTGTGTATGTGTGGTGTTCTTGTCTCGTTTCCCCTTACCCTCAGCTGTTGGGAACTGCCCTGCCTGGTATCAGAAGCTGTAACTCCCACCAGGGCTAAGGCTGAGGGAATGACCTTGGACCATAAGCCAGCAAGGAGACAAAAGGTTATCTCCCTGGCAGGAGCGCCACTTCTGCTCTTTTTACTTCACCCTGCCTGGCCCCCAATGCTTGGTCGGGTAGCCAATGATGGGTAAGATTCCCCAAGGGGGGAATGACCTAAGACAGGCACAATCATGTGGGAGGCCCCCAGGGAAGGACTTTGGGGGCTACAGCAAAACGGGGTGATTTACCCTCGCCCCTCGGCTTTGACAAAGCCTGAGTTCTCATTGTCTGCAAGAAAATCTCCTAATCTCTTAGCTGCCTTACTTCCCTTGCTCCACCTAATCCTGAAACAATGACAGAGGGTGGTGCAGCCCTGTGCTGGAAAGGGTGGGTCCCCTGGGTGATCAGGTCTAAGAAAGAATATGTAAAATCCTGTGAAACCTGCTTTGTTTAGAATGCTGTCAATTAAATGATAAGGGTCCAAGGAAGAAGTAAGTTTGTTCCTTAAAGTTTTACTGCCCTATGACCCTGACTCAAAATAGGCTCTCAGAGTTCCTTGTTGTCTATTGTTGGATCCTTACTTCCTGGCAATTAGTAGTGAGCTTTACCTGAATTCTTATGCAAATGAACCCAATAAAAGCCTACTGGGGGGGAGAATGGGGCGCTCTCCCCTAGGGAGGGTGGCCGAGGTGCTCCCCACTAGAGAGAGTGGCCGTTTCATCCCTATTTCTCCACAGGACTCGGTTGTCTCTGTGTATGTTTTTCTCGTGTTTCTACGAGCCGTCTGCAGCATTCCGAGGTCACTACAGGTTGGTGGCTGCCACACTGAACTCTGTTAAGTTTTATTGTTTCCTTCCTAAGTTCAGCAGGAAGATAGAACTTTAACTTCTCCTATGGACATTTTGTATATGCATGCTTGTTCTGTTTATCCCTATTAACTTACAGGTGGTTTGAGAGTAGAAGGTATATATTCATTTGGGTGTCTTATTGTACCAGTTAATCCACAGCTTTTTACATAATAGATATGGTGTACATATTTATTAAAATGAATTAAGATTCTGGCTTCTGCCGTGGCTGGTGTAGCTCAGTGGATTGAGTGCTAGCCTGCGAACCAAAGGGTCACTGGTTCAATTCCCAGTCAGGGCACATGCCTGGGTTGTGGGCCAGGTTCCCAGTTGGGGGTGCACAAGAGGCAACCACACATCGATGTTTCTCTCCCTCTCTCTCTCTCCCTTCCTCTCTCTAAAAATAAATAAAATCTTTTTTAAAAACTTAATTTAAAAAATTCTGACTTCTTTCCATATACATTTGATGTATGTTTATCTTAAGGGCCAACTATGGGTATATATATATTTCATATCACCTCTCTTTTCTAGTTTCTCCCAGAAAACAAGCTCTTACTTCTTCCTTCTTTTTCTAATAGCGTGTTTAGGAATTTTATCAGATATTTTTTTAAATGGAAGTTTGTATTTAATGTTTGAAGTTATTCTGCTTTGGGACCAACAAAATGAACTACCGCATTTAAAAATTTATTGAGAAAATACAAGTTACAAGTAATTGGAATATTGCATCATAAATCTGACCACTGCTTCTGTTTTCTTCTCCAGGGCCTGCTTTCTTTTCTGAGTGCACCACTCATAGGTGCTTTGTCTGATGTTTGGGGGAGGAAGCCCTTTCTCCTGGGCACTGTCTTCTTTACTTGCTTCCCAATTCCACTGATGAGGATCAGCCCTTGGTGAGTGACTCAGCCTTTCATCATCATGACTCCTTGGGTCACATATAAAGAATACATCTGCAAGAACACTTAACCATTTCAAAGCAGTTGTATATGTGTTTTCATATGATCTCTTTGGTAATACCGAAAGCCAGTTTTGGTAGTTACCACATTGCCAATGTTATAAATGGGGAAATGAAGAGATTACAGAATTAAATCTGAAGTGAAGAAATAGAAACAAAAGCTGTAGTTGCCATGAGATGAGTTATAGCATTGGGTCTCTGGAAGGAGCTGAGGATCTTTGTATTCAATGCTGTGGCTCAGTTGACTTTGCAAATGTGTTGTTTTTGTCAGCTCATTGGTCTGGAGCACTGATATGACATAGCTTATGTCAATAGGCAGGGGTTACTTTTGTGTATAATGTGGTGAGACCAATAATCTATTCTAAATCATAGTAGGACATTTTAAAAATTTTTTATTGATTGATTTTTAGAGAGAGAGAGAAACATCAGCATGTTGTTCCACTTATATATGCCTTCATTTGTTGATTCTTGTATGTACCCTGACCAGAGATCAAACCCACAACTTTAGTGTATTGGGACAGTGCTCTAACCAACTGAGCTACCCAGCTAGGGCCATAATATGAATTTTAATTTGATCTCATTTTTTGTGATGAATAGGAAGAGAATATTTAGCACGTAAACAAGTCTATTTAGTTACCAAGATGAGTTGGAATTTGCACTACAGCTGTAACTTAGTTGTTTCTGTAGGAGTCCAGAGGTTGGTATTTTGGCCAAAATTCCTGTTTGCTAAACTCAGCAATGTGAAGGACTATGCCTTAGAATGGAAGGTTTTTGTGTTTTCTTTTTAATGTAATTAATAGATTTTCTTTTTATGGCTCATGTGAAAATGCCATCATTTGATTATTTGATAGGAATTTTTTAATGTCAACATTTGTCACATTCTAAATTTGTTGGGTACTCATAATGGAACATTTTATTTTTTACCAGATGAAAAATTGTTTTAAATACTTTTTGATATTGATTCCTTCCATCTAAGAACATTGTGGGGGTATTCCATCCAGCAGATGGTACTCCATCCCAATTACCTCGAATGAGAATAAATCTATCAAGTCATGATCTGTTTGGGATGAAAAGGCTAACCAGTCCCTCAAAGGAGAAAGGCATTAAGCCTCTTTCTCAATGGGCTTTTATTGGGTTTAGTTTGCATAGAAATACAGGGTGAATACATAAAGCTCATCAATCATTGCCTGGCAGTAATGATCAAGGAATAGATGACATTCAAAGAACTATAAGGGCTTATTCTGAGTCAGGATCAGATAGAGTGAGTGACTCCAAAGAGCCATAAAACTTTGGGAAACAAACTCATTTTGTGCTTGGACCCTTAGCATTTAATTTGAGGGCATTATTAGCAAAGCAGGTTTCACAGGATTTTATGCGTTCTTTCTTAGGCCTGATTGATCTGGGGAGCTACCCTCTCCAGCACAGAGCCACCCCCACCTCTGGCATTGTTTCAGGCTTAAGTCAGCTGGAGTATGCGGGCTGTGGAGAGGTTAGGAGACTTTACAGATAGAATGAGGACATAGGCTATAACAAAACCAAAGGGTGAGGGGCCATCACCCCTTTCTGTAGTCCCCTAAGTCCTTCCCTGATGGTCTCTTTACGACTGTGCCTATCTTAGGCTGTTCCTCCCTTGAGGAATCTTACCTGTCATTGGCTATCCAGCCATGCTCCAGGGGCCAAGCAGGGTGAAATAAAGGGGGCAAAGGCTGCACCCCTAGTGGGAGGATAAGTTTTGTGGCTTGTGGTGCCTAGGTCCCCAAGCCATGGGGCCTTTTTGCCTGTCGGAGGGGTTACAGATCCTGAAACCAGACAGATGGTTCCCAAGAGAACCATAACATGTTTTTCCAATGAATTAGGGCTTTATTTTTAGTGTCCTCTGAATACATTAATTTTTTTTTTAGATTTTTAAATGATTTTACTTATTCCCTTACATTTTTCATGGTGCTGGTTTTGCTACTCTTATTGACTAATAATGTTAAATAAAAGTGATGATTGTGGACTAATCTTTCTTGTAATTAAGGAAGTGTTGTAAAATTTTATCATTAAGTGCTAAGCTAGCTTTTATAACCAGCTTTTAGATTAAAAAAATAGTCATTCTATTTTATCTAGAAATGTTCTTTTTTTAAATGAACATTTGATGTCAAATTCATAAAAGATGACTTTTTGCAAAATGGAGATCATTTGATTATTTTTCTCCTTAGATTTGTTATTATAATGAATTATTTAATATATTTTTCTAATATTGAAACATTATCATATCTAGGATAAGTCCTCATTTTTGTTCTGTGATGTTCTGTTTGCTAGTGTTCTAATTAGTTTTTTTAAGGCATCTATGCATATAATAAAAAAGTTTGGACTTAATTACATTAATATTTTTTGTTACCTTTTATGTAGCTCTTGTAAAGTTATTTCTTATATATGCTATCTCTTTCTCAACTAAAGCTAGGAAATTTAGAGAATTTTTATTTCTCTTGTTTTGGCATCCTTAAAAACTAACTTTACTTATTGAAACTGCTTGTACTGACACCTTTTAAACAGAGAGAAAATTAGTATGTTTCTGCTTCTTTATCTCCATCTTGATCGTACTTTTATTAGTTGTCCTTTTATATTTTATACATGCATATTTTTAAAAATCATTTTTTGGTTTATAATCTACATATCTTTGGCTCTGTTTATAAAAATGTACATCCACTACCTCTCTTCTGTGTGATTGAAATTATTTTCTTTAGGTGGTATTTTGCAATGATTTCCGTGTCTGGAGTCTTCTCGGTCACGTTCTCTGTGATATTTGCCTATGTAGCTGATGTCACTCAGGAGCATGAACGAAGTACTGCTTATGGATGGGTAAGATAATAGATTTTGTTTTTTAACCAGAAAAATAATTAACATTCTATTAAAACTTCACTGAAAAGTGAGATTTAAAATAAGTAGTAAATATTGACTTACATAAAAGAAAATCTAAAGTAATTGAAATAAAATAGGAGACTTACAAAAATTTAAAGGATAGCAAGATAGAGATTTCTATTAATTCTCTGGTTTTAGAACTGGAAGATTATCAGAAATGTGTGAGTTCCCAGTTGTAAAGTATATTAAAAGTTGATTTGTTTTTGTTAGCTGATCTCTTGACAAATCATAAACAGTTTATAGATTAGAAGTCTCTGTGTGCCTAATTCAAATTGAAGAGTTGTTAGAATCTCAGCCATGTTAATCTAGTGTTATATTACTGGTTGTGTGACCCAGTCAGTTATTTGGGAAATAGTACTGCAGAAAAAGTATTACACTCATTCATTCAACAAATAATTGTTGAATACATTGCAAAAGTTAAAAGAAACCTTTTTTTTAAATAATTGAGTATTAGATAATCATTTGTAATTTTTCTAGGCATGAGAATGGCATTGTGGCCAAGTAGGCAAAGACCTGTTGAAGATGACAGGCTGAAACTGTTTATATCAGAATGTCATTCTCTGAGATCTACTTAACTTGTTCAGGGGGAGAAGAGGGCATGTGGGTATGTGTTCAATGGGCAAAACTGTAGTGGCATGTGGGTGTTGTTGAAGAAGAAAAATTTCTTTGTCTTACCTTCTAGGTTTTTTAGCTGGCCTAGTAATTAAATTGGCATAACACAGATCAACAGGAAAAAAATTAATTTTATATATACAGGAGCCCCAGAAAGAATATAAGCAACATAAAGGTAGTTAGGCAGTTGGGGCTTATATGCTATCATGAGCTAAGGAGAAAGAGGGTAAGGTTCTGGGGTTTCAAAGGAGGAGGAAGACAATTCACAGAAAGATGAAAAGAGCAAATGATTGGTAAACAAATATTTGCCATGTTATGCAGATAAGTCTTTCTGATGTAAACAGGTGTCTTTTATAATAGCTGTCTTTCTGGTATGGGCTCCCTATGTAGTAAGTCTTTTAGGCTGTTAAAGGGAGAAATATGAAGCTTTTTCTAAGTCTTTTAGGTCTTAATCAAAAACTTCCATTTCAACCCTACTTTCCCTCTAGCTGCTACCTGCTCTCTACTCCCTTCCTTTTCCCCTCCTTCCCTAAATGTCTTGTGCCATGCCCTAAAGCCAGAGCATCTCCAGAGTGTTATGGAGGAAAATAGAGGGATCTGGTAAGAATTCAAAGGAGGCAGCATGTTTGGGATGACTTTAGAGGTTGGGCTACAGAGAGTATAGAGGTGCCAAAAGCCTCTTTTATCATACTTGTTATGCAGATGCCTCTACATTTCAGAGCACACCTTTTGAGATACTAATTTCTATCCTATGTTACTAGATATTTGATCCTTGCTTTCAGCAAGAAAAACAAACAAACAAACAAAATTCACAATGCTATTGTGGCTGAGCATTAGGGCTTTGAGGAAAGATTTCAGAGACAGTTCTGGAACCAGTGAACTTAGCTCCCCTCACTAGCTCAGTTCTTCATCTATAAGTAATGCCTGCTCATAGGGGTATTGGGAGAAGTCACTGAGAGAAGTGCCCAGCAGAAGTATAGGGATGCCTGGATTTGGTCACAGGACTTAGGATCTTAGCTAATATTTTTTGTATGAGATTAACATTTAAACTAGTGAATTTGGGGTAAAGCAGATTGCAGACTCTGCTTCATAATGTGAATGTTTCTCATTCAATCAGTCTGAAGAGAACAAAGAGCATGAAGGAAGCTGATATGTGTTAAGCATTACTATATTCCATGAATTTTGCCAAGTGTTTTACTTGTATCGTGTAATTTACTTTTAACATCCCAATAATATGTACATTTTTATCATTTTATAGAGAAGGATATTGAGGTTTGGAAAAGTTATGTAATTAGTAAAAGATCCCAGGACTCAAAGTATTAGATCTGAGATTTATTCTCAGTTCTGACTCCACAAAGTCTAGAGTGAGACACCATAACAGGAAAATAGTCCCAAGAATCTTTACATTTACTTCTGTACATTTCAGGTGTTAAGATGACAAAACTAAAAGAGAAAAAAGAAAGTTTGCAGTTTACTTATCTTAGAAATATAGGAGAATTTATTGCCAATTACAGGATTGTCAACCAAGTGTAGCTGAGGTTCTAAGAAGCTGAAGTTTTGATATCTGTGAGAGAATATATAGTATGTGTACTTTTCCTTACTGAAACTCCTCCAGTAAGCCAAGAAAGTGGTCATTCTCAGGGCCACAGCAATGAATAGTCATATTAACTAAGTTAATGCTTATTGAGAGATTGCTATGGTGAAGTCATCCTTTAGATTTATTTACCAGAGTCATATTGAGTATTAAGTGAAAGAGGGGTTTAGATAAATATGCAGGCTAAGCATGTAGGCTGCTTTAAGCTTTAAGAAAGATACAGCATTTAGCATAGAATTTCATGGAGTCATTGATCCCAAAAGCCCATTTATTTATCCAACAAATACTTACTAAGCATCAATGGTTTGAGAGTAGTATATCTGATCAAAGAGAATAGTTAGGGAACTACTGAAGCTCTCTACTCCTTTCTGATATTTGAAATTTTGTGTCCTACCTTTTTACTTTTATTTTCATATTCCATGATTGTCTTCCAGAATAGTCACTATTACATAGTTTAATATTAAGCAGAGATTTTTTTTCACTAAACTCCTGTTGTTTCTCACTTTTGAGATATATATACAGGGTGGGGCAAGAGTAGGTCTACAGTTAAAGTTCTTTACACTTAGAATGCTGTGAAATTACAAAAAACAGTTTCAGCTGAAATTTAGCAGCTGTGGATCTGACTGTACATTTTAGTAGGAAAAATAATTTGAGAGATTGGAAAATGGTTTCTAGTTCCTGTTATCTATTTGAAATTAAGGTAGCTATTTAACAGTTTTATTACTGTTTATTTGTACATTGTGTGGTAGAGTATCTTTACAATTTATATACAAAATGCAGAAAGGATCGAGATAATGGAAAACTTAGGAATAAATGAATGACCCATATTGTGCAGATAATTTGTGCACCTGAGGACGCTGCAGCAGTGTTCCCTTAGTACATGAGATGCTGCAGCAATGCTCCCTTAGCTGTTTGCATGTCATTGCAACTTTTAATGTACTGATGTGATTGCCTTGTTCTCTTGGATAATGTGGGAAAACCTGAAGGACAGGAACTTTGTTTTCTTATTTATCTGGTACATAGTGGGTATTCAATAAATATTGAATCAATGAATTTGTGTTCTCCAGATTGGAATTCTATAATTCTGTACACCCCCTTTGTTTACCAGAAATGATCGTATTTGACTTATAGTATTTTTAGTATACCAATTTCAGATACGTTGTGTTTTTCTAAATTAAGTTGGGATATGATGAAGAAAAGATGTCATTTGCAACCAAGAGTCATAATTTTAATCATAAATAATGATTTCTGTGGTTTCTATAGGAACAGTAGTTTGGGGATTGCCTGAGAGAGTGGGAGGTGCTGGGTGGAGGAAGGCAAAGGGGAGAAAATTGGGACAACTGTAATAGCATAATTAATAAAATAAAATAAATAATATGGAGATGAAAATAATAGTAAAAAAAAAACAAACAAAAAAACTTTTTTTTTCCTGGCCCTGGCCGGTGTGGCTCACTTGGTTAGAACATCATACCATATACCAAAGGGTTACAGGTTTGATTCTTGGTCAGGGCACACACCCAGGTTTTGGGTTTAATCTCTGGTCAGGGCATCAATGAGAAGGCAATCGATGGATTTCCTTCCAGTTACTCTCTCAACATTGATATGTTTTTCCCTCCCTCCTTCTCTCCTTCTCCCTCTCTCTGTCTCTTTCTCACTCACTCTTTCTCTCTCTCTAAAAGCAATGAAAAGTTTTTCTTGGGTAAGGATAAATAATAATAATAAATAATTTTTGTTTTGCTGCCCTAATTGTTTTCTGCCACCTTGTTTTCAAATCACTTATTCGACCCTCTACTTCATCTAACCGCCCACTGATACCATCTTCCCTGGGTCAAGCACTTTCATCCTTACACCACCAGTCTGGAGTAGTGTACTAGCCTGGTTCTCCAACCATCTGGCTGAGCTCACGACCTGCAGAAAGGTCTGCTGCAGCTTGGGCACTGTGCTCTCTGTCTTGGGGAACAATTAAGGAGATTTAAGAGAACCCAGTAATAGTCAGTGGCATGGGCATTCAGTGCATTGTGTGGTTCTGGAGCAGTGGGCCGTTTTTTCACTCCCTGCATGCCTTGCTGAGCTCACATTGGCAGGCTGCTCTCAATGGGACCTTCAGTGCAATTTTTTTCTTGAGGAGACTTTGGCATAGATTCAGACACTGAGTGATGTGGCTCTGGAGCTGGGGCCATTTTTCCCTCCCTCTACACCACTAGTGCTTCTCCCCCAGCAGGAGACCCACTACCATCCTCCTGCTGAGCTTGAGTCCTACAGAAAAATCTGCTGGCTGCACCCGGTTTGCACCTGTGGTGTACTTTTTCTTGGGAAGCTATTGTGAGAGACTAGGACAGGCACTGAATTGTGTGGCTCTAGGGTGGTAGCTATTTACCCTCAACCGCCCTCCATGCCACTGTTACCATCCCCCTATAGGTGACCCACTAACCTTGTCCTTCTGACTCCCTTTGGCCCTACTCTGCTAGTTCATGCCCTGCAGAAAAGGCTGCTAGCTGTACCCAGCCTGGACCTGCAGTGTGCATCTTTGAGGATGCTCTGATCAGAGAGTCAGGCAGAGACTGAGTAGAGTGGCTCTGAAGTAGGGGCAACTTTCAACCCACTCAGTGCCTGACCTATACTACCCTCAAATAGGAAATCCAGTAGTCCTATTTGCCTGAGCTCACACCTTGTGGAAGAACCTGTGGGCTGTGGCCAGCCTGGGCCCACTCTACAGACTTTGTTTGAAAGGCTC